TGAATGTCATAGTACTCAAAACCATATGACATTGTTTGAAAAAGGTGATTTCATTTGAATTTAGGGCACTAGTTACAGTTGATGAAAAATTGGTACCTTGGTAATAGTAAAGCAGTGAATGTTGTATGTTTCTTAGTCAATCTTTTTCATATTTTGATCCACATGAGTTAGCTTATTGAGTCCGAGAGAAAAGATTTGCACCAAAGAAGGGAGTCGAGATATAGAGCCATGTGATTTCTTAAGCTTGAATTGCTTGCTTCTATTCCAGTGTTGTTTAGAGTCTTAGTGCATTGCTTGAGGACAAACAACAAATTTAAGTTGAGGGTGTTGATGTACTGTGATCTAACGTTATTTTTGATACATTTCACTTAAAGTTGTGTCAGTCTAGAACCATTTTTTATTGGTTTTTATGTATTTGTGCCATGTTTTGCAGGAAATATGTTCAGACGCGAAAAGTTAGAGACACAATTGAAATGTGCAGAAAAAGACATCTAAGGAGGTGAATAACGGACTGTAGGTACATTCACGCTCCGTAGATGGTGAACGTAGATGGACATGCGAGGCATCAAAAGAGATCAAGGAATTCTTGACCAATTGTGGAACCACGAAGGTGACTGATGGGTCGTAGATTGATCTGTCATTTCCACCAGAGATGTTGAGTTTTTGAAGACTGAAAATTTTGCCAAGTCCTGAGTCACGGAAAGGACCTATAAAATAGATCAACCTACTGACCGTAGATCAGTGTTGTAGATCAAAGACGTGTGCTGAAACATTATTTCCTTATTTTGTTTCCTTTTTAGTTAGGACTTATTTTTCTATTTATAGGGCATGTAAATCTCGTTTTTGGTTGTTAGACTTAATTATTCTTGCTTTAGTTCTTGACTTTGGAGATTAATTTGAAAACTTTGGCAGTTATTGATTTCTAAAGCACGTTTTTTTTGAAGAATTTGACTTTGCAATTAAAGTTGAAATTTTGGGTTTATTCTTCTTATTACGTAAGTTCAAGATTTCTTAATGTAAAAATATGAATTGTGATTTTGCTAATATGGGTAAGAAATCCACAACTAGGGTTGTGCGAACCATGAGCGATTAACAAAGTATGAATATTAATTAACCAATTCTTATATAGTGTTGTTGCATGCATTGAAAATTATTTTATTTAGAAGTCTTTTTAATGAGTGCACGTGTTAGAACTCACCTTGTTGCTACTTGTCAAACCAAGAAGATAGTTAATAAGATAAGAATTATCAACGTAGATGTAGTATGATATTATCTAATAATCTAATATCGATTGGTGCGTGGGTGAAAATTAAGTCATACATCGATGTGATGTCTAATATGAGGTAAAGATAAGGGTTAGTAAATTATACACACGTAGTTAGACCAAGGTGCGGGGTGAAAATCTAGATATTGGACCGAGGATTTAGAGATACCTAATTTATCACTTTGCATGTAATACAATAGGAAGGGAAAGCTATTACTAGGATTACTGCATTATGAGCTTATGGGGAACACGTATGCCCTAGTTACTTTCTCATCTTGATACCAACTAAAGTATAAATCTTGCTCACTTATTACTTACATAATTTCTTGAATTCGTTCCACAAATTCCCCCTTTAATTACTTGTTTTCGAGAACACATTGATTAAATGAATATAATTGTAAGTCAAATTTAAGTCTAGACCATTTTTCTCTTGGGATCGGCCCCAACGTACAAGTTGGATTCTTTACTTGATAACGTTCGCTTATGCTTCTTTAGGGAGGTGTAATTTGAGCATACCATGCATGACTCAGAAGGTTCTAGTGAAACTCCTCCATAAAAGTTTATATCACTTTCAAATATTTATAAAACATATACCTTTGCTCTATTTGGTGCAGACCCAGCTAGTTTTCAGGAAGCTTTAACAAAAATGGAATGGAGGTGTGCAATGGAAGAAAAACTTATGAGAATAAGGAAAAATGAGACATGGGACTTGGTGGACGTTTGAGATGGAAAAATGTTGTCGAAAGTAAAATGTGTATTCAAGACAAAGTATTATGTCGACGGAAGTGTGCAGAGGCACAAAGCCAGATTGATCATAAAAGGATATTCGCAGCAACAAGGCATTGACTTTGACGAAATTTTCTCTGCGATTGCTCTTTTAGATGTATTTGTACAATTAAAGTGGAAGGTTTATCAATTTGATGTTAAGTATATTTTTCTTAATGGTGATTTGGAAGAAGAAGTGTTTGTAACACAACCAGATGGTTATGCGGAGAAAGGAAAGAAGAACAAAGTATACAAGTTCAGGAAAGCACTATATAGGTTAAAGAAAGTTCTTCGTGCATGGTAAAAAAAATTGATTCACATTTCAGAGAAAATGATTTTGAAAGAAGTAAGAATGAGCCAAATTTATATGTGAATAAATATGAAAAATTTATTGTTGGTGTGTATGTTGATGATATGATCTATATGGGTTCATCATACTCTCTTGTATATGATTTCAAATCTTCTATGATGAAATATTTGAAATGACGAATTTGAGAGTGTTGCATTATTTTCTTTGATTTGAAGTAAAGCAGGTTGAAGATGGAATTGTCATATCTCAAAGAAAGTATGCCACTGATCTTCTGAAAAAAATCTAGCATGCTTAACTGCAAAACAGTGGCTACTCCTATGAATGTAAATGAGAAGTTGTAACTTGATGATGATATTGAAAAAGCTGAAGGAAGTTATTTTAGAAGTTTTGTTGAAGGATTAATTTATTTGATGCAAACTATCCTGATATATCATTTTTTGGAATGATTGCAAGGTTTATGCATATGCCTTCAAAGCATCATCTTGGGACAGCTGAGTCTTACACTATGTTGCTGAAACTACTGGATTTGGATTATGGTAGTTTTAAAGTACTAAATTTGATCTCTATGGTTTTTCAGATGGTGATTGGTCAGGAAATGTGAACGATAGAAAGAGTGTTTCTGGGAACCTTTTCACTCTTAGTTTTGCAGCTATTACTTGGAGCTCAAATAAACAATCAACAATAATATTATCTTCGGTTGAATATGTTGCAACAACATCTTCAACATGTCAAGTGTGGTGGCAGAGAAAATTACTTGTTGATCTTCACCAAGAAAAAAGGGAACAACAAAATTTTCATTGATAATTTATCAGCAATTGCAATGGCAAAAAATTGTGTTTGTCATTGAATATTAAAACACATAGATATTTGACATCTTTTGATCCGTGATCTGATTGTAGAAAGGGTGATTGAGTTGAAGAGTTGTAGCATAGAAGAACAGGTGGCAAATATTCTTAAACAAGCACTTCCTCAGGTAAAGCACAATTACTTTATGTTTTGTGTTTTGCCTTGGCGTATGTGATATTGAATCAAGGGGGAGTGTTGAGAATTTATTCAAAAAAATAGTCTAAGTTATAAGTTACTATTATTTACTGTAAATTTGAACTAGTCTTTTACTAAAGTTGAAAGAGTCTTTGTTAGGTTGTTATTTGGTTATTATTTTTCAAGCACTTTCCTAGTTTTTAGTCAAGTGGAAGTAATGGAGAGATTATCTTCCTAAGTTTGTAAGCCTATAAAGGTAGATAGTTCCAGTTAATAAAGTAAGCACTTCTACAAAGTATTTCCTTCATCTTACCAATCATACATGATCTTTTAAAAATTTATTGCATTGAATGCATTAAAATACCACGATATCATATAATACATTGTCTATTATGGAGAAGATTAATATTTATATGTTACATATATTTTGTCACTTTCATGAGAGGGAGTATGTTTTATGTTTGTTATGATGTCTATTTAAAGATTCTTCTTTGTGTTGTGGTTTTCCTACTGAAATTGACAAGTTTTCACAAACCTTCATCCTACTCATCTCCTCTTTGTTTGATTATTTTAATCAAATAGGAAGAGTATTGGACACCCAATATCATAAGGAAATATTAGGCATCCATGGCAGTGGTGGTGCGGGCCTCTGGCAAGGATAAAATTGATGTCCTTGGTAGACTATTGACACACATTTAACAGTACACATCCTCTGATCTAAACTTGAATATGAGGAATGATGGGTATGTAAAGGTCCAAGATTTGTTGAGACTTAAACTTAAAATATTAATGAATATTTCATTGATTTCACACAAAAAAGATGATGTCAGAGAGGTTGTACAAAAGAATAACAAGGAAAGATTTGACTTATTTTTATTTTTTTTTGAAGAAATTGGAGAGCTTTTGATAAGTCTCAACCAAGATTATACAATAAATATACTTGAAACTAAAAGCTTATCGAAATTTATTTTAGGAGATGAAGTTTTAGTTTGTCTACATGACACTAACAAGAAGAATTTAACAACAAATATGGAACATGAGCTAAAGTGCATGTACATATTCATTTTTATCTCATCTGGCACCATATTGTGTATTGTGAAGTAATGAGGGGACTGTGACGAGATTTAGGAGTGTTCTTAATTTTTTATGTGAGACAAGCTTTGGAAGGTATCTTGACATAATTATCTAGACGGAAAATAGAGTTTTATCTCAGATAACTCTGTTTTATGAGATATAAAGCTCTGGATGAATTTTGTATATCAGAAAACAAAGGTAACTTGATGGAAGCTATGACCGTGCGGTGCCAGCGAAGTACTTCTAAAAATTAAATCATGGCTCCATATTGTCTTCAAACAATTGTTGTTGTTGATATCCAATTTTATTCTAACATTTTTTTAAATTTGTAATTTTTATATATATCTTTTATATTTTAAAAATAAATTTATCGATAATTATTTTTATCTGTCAAATTTTAAAATTTTTTATTAGTTAATTTAATTATATGTTTCTCCATAGCCGATTACATACATTTAAATATTTATTCTTATTTTTATTAAATCATCATTTTTGCTAAATTCATGTCATTAGTCACGTTTATTATATATATATTTTTATTTATTTTATTCGTTATATTTGTTAATATTTATTTTTATATTTTTCATAATCTAAAAAATCATTTAAACATTAGATAAAAAAAATAGAGGGTGAATATTGGAGGGAATAATTTTTAGTTTTAGAAAATTCTTCGAGTGTCTCTATATCATTTCCAGCGAAAGCTCTACCGGAATCCGACGAACCACCACCCGACGACTCCCTCGTTTTTCATTATTTTTACTGCCACAACTAGCTACTTCACTCTTCTTTCAAACCAACCAAACAGCCACCATCGCAACCTAACCATCTACCATTTCTCGTCTTTCCGGCGAAACCTGAAACCCCAACGTTTTCCCCTTCCTTTTCCATTATTTTTTGGGTGAAGCCACCTGAAACGGAGGCTTGAATCACCGGACCTCCGACAACCCCAAACCCACCACCAGAAACTACCGAAAACTGACCCTACACCTCCATCGGAACAAAAAAGAAAACGCTCCCAGTCCCCTCCCTTTTTCATTTACGATTTTATTTATTTTGCAGCTATTTTAGCGAGCTACAAGCTTCAAATTCGATGAGTTCGAAGCTCAGGTGAGTCAATAGGCTGGTGAAATCGGCGAGCTACGAGCTTCAAATTAACAACCACCACTATTTCACCGAAGTAGGCCAGATCTGGCCTGAAAAAAAGCTTTCCTCCGGTAATCCTTTTTCTATTGTATTCTGTTGTGATCTCATTTGTAAGTATTTTTTACCAATTCTTCCGGCGATGTTTTGATGGTCATTACTATTCTGCTTCATTTATAGTTTTATTGTGTTGACTCTTGCTCTATTGGGTTGGTTATATAAATTTTCTTGTGATTATAGTTGTTTGAACTTAACTATTATTGCTTATTAATTCGTTGTCATTATTTTTGTTTATGGATTTAGTGAATAGATGATAATTTGTTTCTTTTATATATATATATATATATATATAAAATTTTATTTGGGTTAGTTTTATTCTATTTCCTAGATAGATAATATATGTAATTGGGTTATTGTTTTCCGTCATTCTCTCAACAAGTTTGCGTTTTATATTTGTTTCTTTTGTAGTTTGCTGCTATTTTTTTTATTTAATATGCTGTCATTGTTGATTAATTCGAATTAAGTTCATACGTTTTATAAAAAGATTCCAGTAAGTTATCTTGTAAGTATTTTAATTACTTTTCTTATACCTTTTTTTAGTTATTTGTTTGACATGATCTTGCGTTTAGAAAATATATATTAGTTAAATTTGGTCAATCCATTTTAAAAGGCGAAAATTTAGTTTAAGTTCATATTGTTTATTTTGTTAAAATGGCCAATGAAAAATTTCTCCGTCAGGTTTAGAGGCCTCCACATTTTAGAAGACAGAAATTTAATTAAGTTTATATTATTTATTTGTTAAATTGGCCGATGAAAAAATTACCGTTGATTTCTAAGACATTCCATGTTAATGAGACGAATTTTATTTTATGTTATTTGTTTCATTTATTTTATTTCATATTTATTTATCACTAACTCTTTTACTAAGTGTGTTTACCCGAAGTTGCTTCTCATCGAAGCTATTCCAAAGAAATTCAAATGTGTTTTATATTTATTATTGTGTATATTATTGACGTTAGGCAAACCTTAGGCTGATACTTACATTATTATTATTTTATTTTATTATTTGTGCATATTACATGTTAATTGTACTTTTATATTGTTTTTATCTCCTTCTCAATTTTTTTAAAAAAATGAATTCAGTTGGGATTCACATTTGTGGATTTCGAATGATGCCTAACATCTTTGCTTCGGAATAATCTGAATCCTTAACTAGAATAATGGTTTCGTAGCTAACTTAAATGGTTTTCTAGTTTTTCTTAAAATTATGTGGCGACTCTTTTGAAATTCGTTTATCCTTTAAATTCTTTTTAAAAGTGAATCAATTAATTATTTTCGAGTGACCGTCATGTTTCGCCTTATTTGAATAGAATAAAGTAGGGATATAAACAATTGTGATTGAATTTTTTAATCTCATATATTTGTTTTCTATAATGCAGTAAAATGGAGTAGTTACAATTTGCACCACACACAAAAAAGAAGAGTACAATTTTAGAAGCTCTTTTAATTGACCATTATTATTTTATAATACTTTCCAGTGGTACTTCAAATGAGATTTGATTACTTTTGGGTTTAGGCATACATTATTATACACAAAATTTAGTTTAATAATTTGTAGTTCAAATAAATAAAAAAAGATAACACAAACAAATTTACTCATATTTAAAATTTGATTAGTTTTGAGTTTAGGCATAGATTATTTATACACAAAATTCAACTTGATAAGTTTTAGTTTATATGAATAGAAAATATAACAAAACAATTTTACAATAACATTTATTTATGATTAGTTTCTATATAATCGAGTAGATAAGTAACACATCAAATTATTAATGATATCATAATTAGTTCTAAATATACATTTTATTTTATGTTGTTTGTTTCAATAACACATTTTTTATTACAAAGTTTGATTTCTGATATAATGTTTTACCATCATAATTTATGAATCATATATGATGCAAGTACATGTTAGATGAGTTTTAAATCGAAAAATCAAATATTAAAGAAAATCATCAAAAAGAAGAAGATCTCACTAACTTCTTTGCTTTGTGTATAACCATGTTAAAACATAATTCAAGTATTTTTCTTATTTTTATATGTCACAAATATATATTAAACCCCCTACCCAGAAATGTCAAGCAAATGAAAAGCTTCTCTGGGAGAGTAATTTGAGTCTTCTAAACGACATGCATTAGTAATAAAAAGCATGATCAAGTTGTGGATGAAGTAGCGGAAGTTTTTCCTATTGAATGTTGTGATGATGTTGAGTTTGTTGGAGATGAGAATATTGTATTTGATAGTTTGAACGATGAATCATGTGATCAGAAGAAGGTAAGAACAATTCTTGTGTAGGTGAATGAGGAGTAGGAGTGTGCATTATGATGAAAATGTTGTAGATAATGAAACTAGGAGAAATGACATCATTGATACATTATAAAGAATAAGGTGAAAGCAAATGGTGCACCTATAAGATCAAAATCAAGATATTCCAACCAATTAATTCAAGCCAAGTGACATTTTATCTAGGCATGGTTAACAATCACATTTATAAACTTGGGGATGATGAACATGTAAAGACTGCAGATTCTGAAAATTATTATATATGCTAGATTGTTGAGTTTTTTCAATGTGTCAATGATTTGAAGTATTTTTATTGCTCAATGGCTATACAGAGCCAAGGATACTATCATTAAAGCCCATGATTAGTTTATCGACAATATGCGTGTATTTTTCTCAGAAATTAAGGATGACAACCCTTTTGATTGTATTGTAACCAAAATAATGATTGTTACAATAACCTCAAATTTAAGCTTAAATTTCAAGAAAAATTTGAGATCAAAATCTGATTATTACTGAACATGAAGTAATTGGTCTCGTTCTCGTAGTTTATTATCTTACCATTAGATGTTTCATGTGTTGATAGTGAATCGCATTCTATACAACCAAGTGACACTAATGTCGTGAGGTCAATGATCAGAAGCAATAAAAGAAGATATGGACCTCTCTTCCAGTTGTGTTGAAAGTCCACTAGGTTGTGCCTGGGTGCTGTGTTTGCAGTGTTACATCTATAAATATATGAAATGTTCATCTAAATTGATATGTTTGTGTAGCTTAAAAGTGAATAACTTAGAAACTGAGATAAGAAATGAATCAACTTAAGATTTCTTATTTCTTTTGAAGAAGTGGGAGAAACTTTGTGCATCTTGCTCCTTGTTGAAAGCAAGTACACAAGCACACACCTTGCTAAAATGCAAGAGATGAGAATGTGAAAGATCATGATGATGGTGCAAATGATGATGGGAATCTGGTGACAATGATTAATGAGAATTTTTTGAGGTGGAAGAGATTTCAAAAGTTTGTTATGGAGACCCAAAGGAAATAAAGAATTCAAACCTTTACTTTAAGGTATGTAGGAAGGGTTATGGCCCGAATGAAGAAACTTAAGAGACAATAGAAATCTTAGATGGTTGCCAAGATCATAAAGGATCTCTGACCAAGGGTTTCAAAGCAAGTGTTTTCCATTATCTGGGGAAGTAGACGTCATATGTGGGGACCCTTATTGCATGTGCATTGGTTGATTTAATCATTTTTTAAACTCAACACATTCATTAGAAGACCCAAAAAATAAACTTGAAGTATCCATGAGCTAGAATTTGGGGTTGATTTAGGCCAATTTGAAATCTCATTACATGGTATCAAAGTCATATCCATCCTAATTTGTGAGCCCCATTTAAAAGTGTTCACGCTTCAATCGAGATCTGGGTGTACAGGGGAACGTTAAGAAGTCCCAACTCTATTGAGTGATGAGAATTTGATCTCTTTGTATGGACTATAACTTTAGAAGCTCTTTTAATTGACCATTATTATTGTATAAACCTTACTTGAAATGATATTTGACTAGTTTGAGTTTAGACGTAGCTTTTTTATACAAAAAAATTAGTTTGATAAATTGTACACTACTAAAAAAAGGCCAAAAAGAGACCTAGAAAAGGAGACCTCAAAAATAGGTCTATAATAAGAGACCTCATGAGGTCGCTATTTGAATTAATATTTATTTTAATTTTTTTAATGTAGGAGAGACCTCGTGAGGTCAATTTAATGAATTTATTTTTTCCTATACCTGACTTATTTCAAATTTTCAAATTTTCAATCTAATTCTCATAAAATTAGAGATCTCACGAGGTCTGTACTTGTTAAATTAAAAATAATAATTTAATTTAATTAAAGACTTAAAAAATGAGAGACCTCATGGGGTCTCTTAAACAAAAGAAAACCCTAGCCAAATTTATCTATCTCTTTCTTCCCTCTGTCTTTCTCATCGTTCCTCTCTCTCTCTCTCTCTCTCTCATCGTTCCTCTCCGCCATACTTCTCCATCTCCTCTCTCCGCCGTCATCTTCTCCATCTCCAGACGTGCCTCCATCTCCATATGTGCCTCCATCTCCGCCTTCATCTTCTTCTGAGGAGAAAGTCAACCGCCTCCATCTCTGCGCGCCATTTGCAGTCGGGCCTCAACAGGTGGACGTCGCGCCGCCTCCATCTCCGTCGGATCGTGCAGCAGCACTGTAGTCGGCGTTCCTAACCCTTTGACTCCAGGTGAATTTTTTGAACAAACTAGTTGGTTTTCGTGATTCTAAGTGCTTAAAATAATTAAAAAGTAGCAAGTAGATTGAATGTTACCCTGTTGTATTAGTAATTTAATCATTCCCAATGTGATTATCTTTGAAATTTTTAAAAGAATTTGTGCCAAATAGATATTGAAAATGTTTCCCAATCAATAATAATTTGTAAAAGTAGTTGGCTTTCGTAACTCTTAATAGGGTACATGATTTTCTTTGAAAATAAGCTAGTAAATGGGATCAAATACTTGATTTTCACCATTGGAGTTCAAACTCTATTTTCTAGTGTTAACTTTTTTCCCCTTTTTCTTGCTAGGCCACTAAGGAAGCTCAAAATCTAAAAAAGTTGATACAAGATTATACTACTTCTTTAATTTAATCAAAGTAGGAGATAAGGTATAGTGATTCTAAATTTAATAAAGTTGAAGTACAATTGTTTTCTATAATATGTGTT